ATGATCAAGTGAATATTGAGCCAAATCATAGTTGATTGAAGCTGGATTATCAGCAGGTGCATATAGGAGGTGCATATAGGAGGTGCATATAGGAGGTGCATATAGGAGGTGCACACAGGAGGTGCACACAGGAGGTGCACACAGGAGGTGCACACAGGAGGTGCACACAAATGTGAATGGTTTTCAACAGAGATCTCACTCAGTGTTCCACGTGCCGCTCAAGGCACGGCAAGTTTATTTATATAGCACAATTCATACACAAGGCAATTCAAAGTGCTGAACAAAATAAGAAAGCATTAAAATCATAAATAATCACAGAACATTAAAAAGAAAGATAATAAAAGTATAAAATCCCTCAGTTGTATGCACAGCTAAACAGAACTGTCTTTAACCTGGTTTTAAACATTGTCATTGATGAAGCCTGTCTCACATCTTCAGGAAGATTGTTCCAGATTTTAGCAGCATGAATCTGAAAAGCAGCCTCCCCATGTTTAGTTCTGACTCTGGGCACTAACAGGAGTCCAGTCCCTGTGCTCCTCAGAGTCTGGGCTGCTTCATATGGGACTAACATGTCACTAATATATTTTGGTGCTAGGCCATGGAGAGACTTGTAACAAGCAGAGCTGTTTTAAAGTCTATTCTCTGAGCCACAGGAAGCCAGTGCAGAGACCTGAGGACCGGACTAATATGGTCGTACTTCCTGGTTCTAGTCAGGACTAATGTGGTCGTACTTCCTGGTTCTAGTCAGGACTAATGTGGTCGTACTTCCTGGTTCTAGTCAGGACTCGAGCTGCTGCATTTTGAATGTACTGCAGCTGTTTTACAGCCTGTTTGGACAGACCTGTGAGCAGGCCATTGCAGTAGTCTAACCTACTGGAGACAAATGCTTGGATAAGAATCTCCAGATCTGCTTTAGACACTATGTTTTTGATCCTGGCAATGTTTTTTAGATGGTAAAAAGCTGCTGATGTTACTGATTTGATGTGGCTATTAAAATTTAAGTCTGAGTCCAGTATTACCCCTAGATTTCTGACCTTGTTTGAAGGTTTTAGGGAGAGAGACTGGAGGTGACAGATGACGCTCTCTCTTTGTTTCTGGGGACCAAAGACAATAATTTCAGTTTTGTCTGCGTTTAGCTGAAGGAAGTTGTTTTGCATCCACTCACTGATCTGTTGGATACAGTGAAGGAGTGAGTCCACTGGTCCATGTTCTCCTGCAGTCAGTGAGACATAGATCCGAGTGTCGTCTGCATAGTTGTGATAGGTCAGTTAATACGCAGAAACAAAGTGTCCTAACGGCAGCATGTAGAAATTGAACAGAAGAGGTCCTAGGATCGACCCCTGTGGTACTCCACAGGTCAGGACCATATGATCTGAGACACAGTTTCCAATCTCCACAAAGTACTTCCTGTCTTCAAGGTAAGACCTAAACCAACTTAGGGCGGTGCCAGCAACGGTGGAGGTTGTGTTTTGCCCTGACCCATGAAAAATTAGACTGAGTTTACACGGAGATAATGTGGCAGTAAAACGGTATAGTTGGATGTCGGTTTCTACCAACCGTTCTATACGAAGACTGTGTTTCAGGGGGGTGAAAACGTACACTTGAGAGAGCGTTTGCGGTCCAGATTTTACAGAGAAACTCTGGAGCCAAAACTTCTGAATGACAGCATTTGAGGAGTTTTGTGGCGCGTCTCTCGTGGCACCTGCTGTGGATGCACTCCCAAGAGTGCGCAGCGGGTGGACAGGGCAGTGAGACATTTGGAGTGAGCAATACCATAGTCCATCGGTCCATGCGTTAATGGGGTGTGTGTCTGTGTGAGGCTTACACATATCTAATGAAAACATGCATTGCTTTACCAGATGTGAGGGATACAAATAGCTGTGCGTAATTACGCAGCGCAGAGCCTGCCACAGCAATAGCTGGGTCACACATCCCTGTCGAGTTATTTGTATAGAGCCTTTCACAGTCCAGGATCACAAACTGCTTCACATTTTAAAAACATACAGATCAAAATAATACACACAGAATTCAGCTTTAAAATCATAGAAACAGAAGAGGCTCCTCATCATGATCTGTGATTTATTCAAAGTTTACGTGTTTCCAGAGTGTTATGCTGCTTTCAGACTGCCAACGCTGAAACGCTGAAGCCCCGCTCACCAGACGCGCATTCTCTACTTTTCAGACACAGGGGTCTTCACACCAGAACGTCCTGACGCGAGCCGGAAGTGCTCGCGTGACTCAAAAATGCTCCATTTTTGAGTTACATTCAAGAATATCTGCTAGCTTTTTGAGGCTATGGCCGAGTTTGATTTGTTTCCTTGTCATATCCAGCCACAGACCTGACTGCGTCAATCACATGGTTAAAGTTGGAAGGAATAAAGAAGTCCTTAATTGTTTTCAGTTTCCCTGCCGTTTTTGCTTTGTTAATTAAACCGACTTCTCTCATTTTCTGCCTAATGTAATCATGCTTAGTCTTATCATGCCCCTGTTTTAAGTACAGGTGCTCTCCGAGTCTCAGAATCCCTTTTTCTGCTGGGGTCCAGTGTTCGGGCCCAGTCCCCATGACGTGAGTGGAATCTCAGGTTATGGACCCCACCAGGAGTTGAAAACAAGTACACACACACACGATAGGAGCAGCTTTTGTCAAAAACTGCACAATAACTAGACACAGCCCGATTTTGGCCTCATGTGCATTTGTTGATAAAATGTGTTCAGATAAGTAACTGATGTCTGCTTTTTCTGCGTTTGTTGCAGATCTACAAATTCCATTTACAGAATGGGGTTCACCTGTGATCAGTGTGGAAAGACCTGCAGTTCTGCTTCCAAACTAAAGAGACACTACAGAACTCACACTGGAGAAAAACCATACGTGTGTGATCTGTGTGGAACAGGTTTTAACAGAAAAGGCGATCTCGAGTGCCACAGCAGAATCCACACTGGAGAAAAACCCTTCAGTTGTGACTTTTGTGATCAGAGTTTTAGACAAGAGGGTAATCTCAAAGATCATCAGAGGATCCACACAGGAGAGAAACCATACGAGTGTGACCAGTGTGGAAAAACATTTAGGATCAAACATCTGCTCTCACTACATCAGCATGTCCACACAGGAGAGAGACCTCACCAATGTGACCAGTGTGAAAAGACTTTTACACAATTATCTGTCCTCACTCGCCACTACAGAATCCACACTGGAGAAAAGCCATTTGTCTGTGGAGACTGTGGGAAGAAGTTCAGTCGCTTTTCACAATACAAAAGCCATGAGAAAACTCACACTAGAGAAAAACCATTTGCATGTGACCTCTGCAGTAAAACTTTTAGAACTGCAGAAAAGCGCACAGTTCACCATCGGAGCCACACTGGAGAGAAGCCGTACAAGTGTGATCAGTGTGGAACAAGTTTTACTAGAAGAGGAAGTCTCAAGCGCCACAGCAGAATCCACACTGGAGAAAAACCCTTCAGCTGTGACGTTTGTGATCAGAGTTTTAGACAAGAGCATAATCTCAAAGAACATAAGAGGATCCACACTGGAGAGAAACCATTTGAGTGTGACCAGTGTGGAAAAACATTTAGGATCAAACAGCTGCTCTCACTACATCAGCATGTCCACACAGGAGAGAGACCTCACCAATGTGACCAGTGTGAGAAGACTTTTACACAATTATCTGTCCTCACTGAGCACTACAGAATCCACACTGGAGAAAAACCATTTATCTGTGGAAAGTGTGGAAAGTCTTTTACACATAGCTCATCTCTTCATCGACACTTTAAAACAGCTCCTGCAGGTCCGTACCATTGACCAACAACGCCTCCCTCCCTTTTTGTGTGTGTGTCTGTGTGTGTCCCCCTCTGTTCCGTGTGTGGTGTTCCCGCTGCCTGATTTGTGTCCCTCAGTCATGTGTGTGATGTCTCCCCTCTGTACAGTTACTATTTACCATATGCAAGTTGCACAGGTGCACACAATGTAAGGGACAGCAGTACAGTGAAGTAAAGTGGACGTATGATGGCAAGTAAAGTGACTTTAAAAGGGCGGGGACAGGTTAATAATTTTTTCAAAGAGTCCAACAGCAGAGGGAAGAAACAGTTCTTGTGGCGGAGGTTCTAGTCTGATGGACGCAGCCCTCCTGCCTGAGTGTGGTGGTGGAATAGTCCATGTGCAGGTGAGAGGGTCGGCTTGTGATACGACTAGCCCACCACGAGCCGCGACGTACAGGTCCTGCAGCGATGGAAGGCTGCGCCGATCACTTCCTCTGCAAGAGCGCACATGCTCTGTAGTCTCTGCTTGTCCTGACTGTGCTCCAGCGAACCACACGGTGAAGGAGGAGGTGAAGGATGACCTCGATGATGCCGTGTAGAACTCAACCAACATCTGTCCGGGCACGTGGCTTTCTGAGCTGCCGCAAGAAGTACATCCTCAGCTTGGCCTTCTGATGAGGGAGCTGATGGTCCTCCCACTTGAGTCCTGGTGTTGCGGTGCCCATGAAAACGGAAGGACTCACAGAGTGGGAATGGATCAAGAACCCAAAGAGCAATCGGTGGGCGAATTTGTATTAAATTCCCACACTAGCCTCAAGGGAGGCGTGGGAACGTCAAATTCGAACTGGAAGAAGCAGAGTACTAGCAATGCTAGTCAACTCAGCAACAGACCTGGACACTACAAAGCTTAAGAACGTTTCGGGTATGAAACCATGGCACTCATCAACATAGACCTTGCAGCATGTGAACAGCTTAAATGACCCCACTGGTCCTGAACCAGTGACGCCAAAGCTCATACGAAACAGATGAAGGCTAGCAGTGTAGTCTTCCTCCGCGAGGACAGTGTCTCCAAGGGAAGATTTGTACTGGAACAAAAGATGGAAAAGAGGTACAGTGCCCTCGCAAAATGAGTGTTTGGCAGAGATGGAGCGAGAAATACCTGCTAATATCTCCAACAACGACAGAAATGCTGGAAAACATCTCAGTAACCTGCAAGATAGCTATGATATTTGTGATTCTGCAGGTCGATGAAGCAGCACCCAGGATGTAACATGGAAGCTCGCTCGTGTGTCGAGAGACTGTCCACCAAGTACAGATGGAAAATGGTTCGAAAAAGGGAAGTTGAAGACAAGCGACACTACTTTTGACAAAGGAAAGACACAGACAAGACTACATACAGGTAGAAAAGACATAGTTCACAAAGTTGTGACTTTGAGTAGGAGGCTGATAAAGGTCTACCTCCACATAGTGAGGACGCAGACCACTCTGTGTAAACTCCACCTTCTAAAGTTTGGGTTGATTTGAGGTGGGAGTGTAAGTGGTTGTTTAGATAGCGTTCTTATGAAAAGTTTAGTTTGTCAGTTTCTATTGATTTGGGTTTTATAGAATGGTTTTGTGGAAGTGGGTAAATAGTAATACTGGTGAGGTCTTCTTCCATAAGAAAGTATCGGCGTAGTACACTTGTATACAGCGGTTTCATTTCCGTAAGTGTGTGTTCGCGCGGCGACGGAATCTCGCGCTGAGATCTTGGGGTTTACACGGGGGCCCATCAGGGAGGACAGGCCAGACGCTCTCCCCTCGATCGCTCATAAGACATCAGAGCGGGAGAGCCACTGGTCACAGTGAGTAAGCCAGCACGTGTTTCAGGTAATCTCTTTGTACATGTCGATTTTATGGTGTGATAACAGTTCATGTTTTTAGTTGCTCGTTACAATCGTGGGTATTAAAAACATGTATTTGTTGTCAATGTATTGGTTGCTGTACAGCGTGAAACGCCACATATTGGGTGTCCATGTTAAGAATTAAAGGCCTCCGACTACTGACAGGCGTGGGTGTCCACGAGGGTAGCTAATCTTTAAAGTTTCGGGTGTAGTGTGTAATGTATGAAGAAGTTGTGTTGAAAGGGCATAGGTTAGTTTGGCCTGTATGTTATTCACGGGGACATTGAAAGCCACTGATACGACATTGTAAGGGCAATAAATGAGCACCGGACTCGAGAAAGTACTGTGCAAGCGTTGGTCATTGAGAGCTCAGTGTATCCATTACGGTGTCCTACTGGCCTTCACTAGAGGACTGAGTGAAGATTGGGCGCGGCCGTGAATCCACAGCCCACAAGCCGCGTCACCAAACGGGTCTCAGTGTGTGCAAGTTAAGCACGAAACCAAGATGAGCAATCATACAAAGCGCTAAGTCAACGAAACCAAAATAATATTCCAGGGGCGGTGTTTGTACTTAAGGGAGTGGCGATTGGTCCCTTAATACTCAAACCATTGGCCAACTGAAACCAATACAAATCAAAGGCCACTTAAGAGTCGTTTTCCGAAGGGGCGTGACACCAGGATAGGAGAAAACAGAATGACCAAACAAAATGACATTTGGGTGGGGTTATGCCCCAAGCAAAATGGACTAACAGGCAGAATGGCACGCCTCTCCTCGCGCTGGTAAAAAAACCAGATGCCCAAAACGCCTCTAGAAGCCGCGCCCCCCCCCCCCCCCCTCATCGCCTATTTAGCCTCTGAACTCAATTAAAGTAACATAAGCAATAATTAACCCAAAATTATCTGTGGCAACTAGAAAAATAAGTGTACTAAGGAGATCATAAGCTAAGAAGAAAAAAGAGACAAAGAGCTCTAACATGTCAAAGTCCACACTGGCGCGATTGAAACAGCAAAGGGGCACACTGCCAATGTGCAAAACAACTCCACCCCACCAACTGCCTACATAACCCCCTTGGTGGCCCCGTGCCCTCAACGCCAGTTACGACCATCGGATCCGCGAGTGGGGGGAGGGGCACACAGGAGTAGCTATGTCCCGCCCGTTAAGATCGGCGGCTGGTGGGAGGGTGTCTACTCTGGCCCACGGGCTGATCTCCTCAGGGTCCACACCGGCTGTCCATGGCCCTGTACATGTGGGGCCCCTTGGGTTCGGGAACACAACCTTAGAGGGCAAATTAAAACCAACGATACAGTAGCAGGAGTGGGAGGAGAGTGTGTTTTTCTCAAGCGAATGTCTAAACAATTTGAGGAGCGCTCTGTGGCTTTTCCAAGCGCTATGTAAATAAAGATACCTTATTAGCCTTTACCTAATGTTGACACGTGTAATACCAGAACGGGAATATAAAAAACAAGACTCCAAAGCTCACCAAAAATCTTCACACGGTAAAAGATGTATTAGTACTTTTGGTACGGTGTGTTTAATTATCTTGAACATTTATCTCAATAAAAACCATAGATTCTACTACTTTATAATAATTGCATGCAGCATGTGCAAATGCAGTCAATATGAATTGGAGCACAGTTCAACCATCGCCTCTGGGCGGTTTGAAAAACAGCTTTTGTAACTAAAATAAAAACATAAAAACAAACACACAACTCACAAAACAGTTAAGAAATAAGCAGCAGATTTAAAAGAATGGAATCTAGAAATATGTTAGATCTAAAAAGAATTGCACAACTTTAGCACTAATAATAATAAATAATAATAATAATAATTCAAAACTTATTTTTACTAAATGGTGTTTAAAACGTTTAACTGTGTCATAACACAATGTTCAATGGCAAATTTAGCAAATTTAAAAATAACAACTATGAAAAGCCAAAATCCTAAACGCAGTAGGTCCCCTTTAAATCAGAGCAGCAGCTCAGCAGCAGCGGGGGGGGGGGGTTCCTTTCACACAGACGCACACACACAGGCAGAAAGTAGTGTTTTAGCAAAAATGCTAAAACAGAAAGAAGAAGAACATTCAAGATTACTTATTTAAGCAAATTTAACTGATGTTGTTCTTTAACTTTTGTCATCCAAGTCTAGAAGTGATCACTTTCCACACTAGTAACAAAAGGCACTCTTTACTCTTTAATTTCCCTTACGCTTCTATTTTATCGAGGTAGCAAACTAGTTTAAACTCAAAATCTCTTTCTAAAAAAAAAAAACAACTGTTGGATACAACCCTCTCATAGCTTAACTGTAGATATAAATCGGGAAAAAATGTAAATAACTCACGAAAGCTCTCATAGCTCAACTTTAGATAAAACTCTGCATTCTCCGGTGAACTCTGTTCACGCCAAAAACAAAAACTCCCTTTTTCTGTATGTAATTTAAACCGTGATCACTGAAATATTGTTAATTCTTTACTTTTGTCATTTATCAGCCTGAAATTTGTCAACTTCAAAGCTTTTGTAACAAAGGCCTCTTTAACACATTTCCCGTTTTATAAATTGCTTTTAATTTTACACCATGGTTTCACTTAGGATCCTTCACTTTTATGGCCTTTACACTTATGGATCCTTCACTTTATGGCCTTTTCACTTATGGATCCTTCACTCACTTTATGGCCTTTTCACTTATGGATCCTTCACTCACTTTATGGCCTTTTCACTTATGGATCCTATACACTTTATGGCCTTTACACTTATGGATCCTTCACTCACTTTATGGCCAACACTTTATGGATCCTCACTTATTTGAACACAATTTAGAGAGTTCGACAGACCTCAAAAACAGACCAAAATTTAGCTAGTATCCAATTATGCAGACTTTACATATAAAAAGGTGTCTGCTTACCTTATTCTTGTCAAACCGGTTCCAAGGACTGTCCGAGAGGTCTGCCAACTCTTTTCCGCGTCGGAATATTCAATTTAAAAAACAAAAGTGACAGAAGCGACAAGAAGCATCCAGGAACAGCTCTTCCAGCCTCCTGGAATCCCCGCTCCCAGACACAGCATGCCGATCTCTCACGCCGAGGAAAAGAAACAAAGCAAACTCCCTCAAAACAATCCAGAGAAATCTCCACCAAATCTGTCAGGATTCAGCAGACAGAGACGGATCGTGGTGCGCCAAACTCTGGAAGTTTATTTAAGTTTCTCTCAAGTTCCACTGGTTTACTTTGTTTCTTTCTCTCAGACAGAATAAAGGCAGTACACAGTTTATATAGTCATTGTCACGTCACACATCGAAAGACATACGTGTCACAAAGAGACAGTCACATCATAGTCATAACATGGAGTCCTTGTACAGTCCTGCACGTAGGCCATATTGCTATCTAATACTAACACTGCGTCTTCACACCTGCTTCTCACACGTTTTAAAGTGTCGATGAAGAGATGAGCTATGTGTAAAAGACCTTCCACACTTTCCACAGACAAATGTTTTTTCTCCAGTGTGGATTCTGTAGTGCTCAGTGAGGACAGATAATTGTGTAAAAGTCTTCTCACACTGGTCACATTGGTGAGGTCTCTCTCCTGTGTGGACATGCTGATGTAGTGAGAGCAGCTGTTTGATCCTAAATGTTTGTCCACACTCACCACACTCAAATGGTTTCTCTCCTGTGTGGATCCTCTTATGTTCTTTGAGAGTATGCTCTTGTCTAAAACTCTGATCACAAACGTCACAGCTGAAGGGTTTTTCTCCAGTGTGGATTCTGCTGTGGCGCTTGAGACTTCCTCTTCTAGTAAAACTTGTTCCACACTGATCACACTTGTACGGCTTCTCTCCAGTGTGGCTCTGATGGTGACGTGCACGCTTTTCTGCAGTTCTAAAAGTTTTACTGCAGAGGTCACATGCAAATGGTTTTTCTCTAGTGTGAGTTTTCTCATGGCTTTTGTATTGTGAAAAGCGACTGAACTTCTTCCCACAGTCTCCACAGACGAATGGCTTTTCTCCAGTGTGGATTCTGTAGTGGCGAGTGAGGACAGATAATTGTGTAAAAGTCTTTCCACACTGGTCACATTGGTGAGGTCTCTCTCCTGTGTGGACATGCTGATGTAGTGCGAGCAGCTGTTTGATCCTAAATGTTTTTCCACACTCACCACACTCAAATGGTTTCTCTCCTGTGTGGATCCTCTGATGAATTTTGAGATTACCCTCTTGTCTAAAACTCTGATCACAAAAGCCACAACTGAATGGTTTTTCTCCAGTGTGGATTCTGCTGTGGCACTCGAGATCGCCTTTTCTGTTAAAACCTGTTCCACACAGATCACACTCGTATGGTGTTTCTCCAGTGTGAGTTCTGTAGTGTCTCTTTAGTTTGGAAGCAGAGCTGCGGGTCTTTCCACACTGATCACAGGTGAACCCCATTCTGTAAATTGACTTTGTAGATCTGCAACAAACACAGAAAAACCAGACATTAGTTACTTATCTGAACACATTTTATCAACAAATTTACATGAGGCCAAAATCGGGCTGTGTCTAGTTAATGTGCAGTTTTTGACAAAAGCTGCTCCTATCGTGCGTGTGTGTGTACTTGTTTTCAACTCCTGGTGGGGTCCATAACCTGAGATTCATCATGGGGACTGGGCCCGAACACTGGACCCCAGCAGAAAAAGGGATTCTGAGACTCGGAGAGCACCTGTACTTAAAACAGCGGCATGATAAGACTAAGCATGATTACATTAGGCAGAAAATGAGAGAAGTCGGTAGCTTAATGAACAAAGCAAAAACGGCAGGGAAACTGAAAACAATTAAGGACTTCTTTATTCCTTCCAACTTTAACCATGTGATTGACGCAGTCAGGTCTGTGGCTGGATATGACACAAATCAAACTCGGCCATAGCCTCAAAAAGCTAGCAGATATTCTTGAATGTGACTCAAAAATTGAGCATTTTTGAGTCACTAATGCTACACTTTTTATATTACAAAGGACAAACTTTTATATATTTTACAAATTACAAATGTTCACCTTTATTACATGTTACCTGCAATTTTCAGTATGTATAAAACAGAATTCTCTACCATTCAGTTTTGTTAATACGTTTTATATACAATAGCTGTATTACACATTTTGCTGCCAATAAATCAGTAAATGCACTTTGAGGCAAGTGTGTTTAAAATTATCAGTGCTAAGTTTTTATAGCTTTTATATGAGGCTTTGTTAAAATTATCATATCGTCATATTGTGATACATACCAACAAAAATCGTGATACATGCTGAGGCCCATATCGCCCAACCCTACTTCCTGACAGACAGGAAGCAGCGAGTGCGAATGTCTCGGACTCTCGGATTATAAATACAGGAGCCCCACAGGGCTGTGTTCTTTCTCCCCTGCTCTTCTCCCAGTACACCAACCACTGCACCTCCAGCCACGACTCCGTAAAGCTGATCAAGTTCGCGGACGACACCACCCTCATTGGACTCATCTCCAACAACGATGAGTCTGCCTACAGGAGGGAGGTGGACCGCCTGGTGTCCTGGTGCAGTGGTAACAACCTGGAGCTGAACGCCCAGAAGACAGTGGAGATGATTGTGGACTTCAGGAAGAGCACTGTCCCCCCGCCCCCACCCTCCGTGATGGACTCCCCCATCACCTCTGTGGAGTCCTTCCGTTTCCTGGGCACCACCATCACCCAGGACCTCAAGTGGGAGCCGACCATCAGCTCCCTCATCAAGAAGGCCCAGCAGAGGATGTACTTCCTGCGGCAGCTCAGGAAAGCCAAGCTGCCTGCACAGATGTTGGTGCAGTTCTACACGGCCACCATCGAGTCCATCCTCACCTCCTCCGTCACCTCCTCCGTCACCTCCTCCATCACCGTGTGGTTCGCTGGAGCCACAGTCAGGGACAAGCAGAGACTACAGCACATTGTGCTCTGCAGAGGAAGTGATTGGCCGCAGCCTTCCATCGCTGCAGGACCTGTACGTCGCCCGAGCTCGAGGCCGGGCTGGTCGTATCACAGCCGACCCCTATCACCCTGCACATGGACTATTCCAACCACTCCCCTCAGGCAGGAGACTGCGGTCCATCAGGACTAGAACCTCCCGCCACAAAAACAGTTTCTTCCCCTCTGCTGTTGGACTCTTGAACACTTCTTAACCTGTCCCCCCGCCCTTTATAAAGTCACTTTACTGCCCATCATACGTCACTTTACTTCACTGTACTGCTGTCACCTCACATTGTGTGCACCATGTGCACTTGTATATTGTAAATAATAACTGTAACTCTATGTTAAATTGAAATTTATTCCTTAGAAGTGTTTTTTATTTCTTATTTTGTATTATCTCTTTCTAACTGTTTCACTGAGCCAAAGCAATTTCCATGTCTGTGACTTCCTGTTACTTACGTGGCAATAAAAATTATTGCCACGACCAGAAGGTCGTGGGTTCAAGCCCCGCTCAAGACTTTCACCATCGACTCCCACTGACTACTGTCGTTGTGTCCTTGGCAAGACACTTAACCTCTGGGAACACCAGCCACAGTGGGGCAGCTGCGGCTGTAAAGTGCCAAACTGCTGTTGTGTCCTTAGGCAAGACACTTCACCCCCATCGCCTAGAATGAGTCTGGTGTGTGTATGAATGGTTGGTGGTGGTCGGAGGGGCCGATGGCGCACACTGGTTGCCTCGCTTCTGTCAGTGTGCCCCAGGGCAGCTGTGGCTACAGTAGTAGTTTATCACCACCGTGTATGGAGTGAATGAATAATGACACATGTGAAGCGTCTTTTGAGTGTCCAAAAAAGCGCTATATAAAACCGATGCATTATTATTATTATTAATTCAGGCCATTTATTATTTATTTATTTACATCGAAATTTCAGTAGAGATGAGTGCTGCAGTGGGTCTAGACACTAGGGAAAAAAAGTGTATGCATAATATAGGGTATAAATATTTCATTTTAAACGTGAATAAACTCAAAAGTGTGTGCTTTTTGCGGCTTCTTAGCAGACTTCCTGCTGACCTGTCGCAAAAACAGGGCGTGGAACAGGCAGTTTCTGAATATCTATTAGGCGTGACTTTCATAAATACGCTGGTTTTGAGCGCGCCATTTATCAACAGCCGCAGGTGCGGAGATCTGTGCGTATCTCACACGTTCATAAATGCCACGTCAGATCTTGTGTATCTGGGATCTACACCCAAAATGTAAACCTTTTTCTGCGCAATTTTCATAAATGAGGGCCACTGCATCTTTGGTCAATTGATTGATCAATGATAGCAATAGAAAGAATTAAATTGTGTTTAAAGGTGCCGCTTCTGCAAATGTCATCGGGATGAAGCGCTCTCAGAAAAAAAAAACCTTTCAAAGAGGAAAAAACCTCCAGTTCTACAGTATCAAAATGGAGCACACCTCTAAAAGAAAGTATTTTGCAGTATGGGATCATTTTGACTTGTTTACAGCAAATAAAGTAATATTCGTAGTTCAGGTTTCACACTTTATCTATAAATCGATATTTAATTTCATGCAGATCAAATGAGGCATTTGTTCAGAACTGGCATATATAAATCAGGCGTTTTAGGCTGAAACATGATTTAAATACACCCAGCATAAACTAAATGTTTCATCAATAATTAGCATTTAACTAAGATAACATTTTAATGCTAATTTCTTTTTCACAGCAAAGTGCAGTGGTATTTACTCACACATTAGACATGTGCCATTTCCTTTGTATCCTCTCACATATTGGTGTGGAAACTGAATTTCTTGCTTTAATGACAGGTTCAGAGCATTTTTGTCCCGCGGGTCAGGAGATAATCATGTGGTACTTTTATAAACATTTCTGGACAGTGGTCCCTGCTCCCTATGAGTTTGTTATTATTGTATTTAATGTGTTCAAATCGTTTGATTCTCTGATCTGTTGAGACAACTGTGTAAAGTCCTCCGAGACGACTGCTGCTGTGATTCAGGACGATGCACATAGAATTGAACTGTGTAGTTCACAGTCGGAGATAATGCTAATGATAGTAGTTATTTGTTCAAACCTCTCAGTCACAGTTGCTGTCCGAGAGTTTTGTTCTATTGTGAAATAAATACATAGAAATAACGTTCTTGTCCTACTTCGTCTTGGTCTCAGTGCTGCAGTTTTTTTATACAATAATGGACAAAACATTCCAGATTAAAATATATAAAACCGAGGTGAACATGCTCCAGAAACTTAATATTACTGTTACAGTAAACAGATGAATAAATGTCCATTGAACAGACAGTAAAAGATGCTTCCAGCTAGCTCCCGCTGTGCAGCTTGTCACTTCTCTTCTCTTTCCAACCCTTTCTCTATTTATTTCTTGTAGATGTGCTTTTTTTATTTTTATTTTTCGTTGGCAAGCGTTTATTTGTGCATTGTGCACACGGGAAGCCTAGCCTCGTGGACTTTCTCACTGGATTAACATGTCTTTGGCACTTTTTTCGGAGTCCTCCGCTCACAGAGCCACGAGACCAGCGTGTCCCATTGTTTACACACGGGAGCAGCTTCTCGGACTTAGAGACTCCGCTTTCCGGCACTCAGAGAAGCCGGTGATCCCCTTGGAGATCCGTAGGAGACGCAGGGGCTCCAGAGGAGGACGAAAGAGGAAGAAGAGACCGTATTTCCCCTCCATCCTCATGGGGAACGTACGGTCCATCTCTAATAAGACTGAGGAGCTGACCGCACTGGTCCGCCATCATAAAGAGTACAGACAATGTGGACTTATGTGTTTCTCTGAGACGTGGCTGTGTGGGAATATTCCGGACTCTGTGGTCGCGCTGGAGGGATTTAAACTTGTGCGAGCGGACCGCTGCGCGGAGGGGAGTGGGAAGAGGAAAGGCGGGGGTGTCGCGGTCTACGTGAACGAGCAGTGGTGCATCCCGACGCACGTGCATGTGGTTCAGCGTACATGCACACAGAACCTGGAGCTGCTCGCTGTGAGCATGAGACCCAGGTATCTGCCGCGGGAGTTCTCACACACCGTGGTTCTATGTGTTTACATCCCCCCGTCAGGAGACGGGGCCGCAGCATGTGAGGAGATGCACAGAACTGTGACCCAGATCCAGACCCGCAGTCCCCGCGCTCTGATTCTGATCAGCGGAGACTTTAACCACGCCTCCCTCTCCGCCACTCTCCCGACATTCAAGCAGTATGTCACGTGCCCAACTCGTGGCAATAAAGCCTGGTTCACACGGCAGGATATTTAGGCCGATTTAGACCCGATTTACCCCTTACGACAATCTTAAGAAACGCTCCGATTTCCGTAACAAAATCTTACAGATTATCCTGCCGTGTGTGGTGTGTTAAGACTGCACTCGTCGCTCGGAAGGACATCGGGACTGCTCCCGATCTCAAATCGGGGATATCCAACATGTTGGATTGTTTTGGCCCGATTTCTCTTCGTGTGTGGTGTCCCCCGAGGACAGACGTGTGCGTTGCCATGACTGCGGCGTGTAGCCAATCAGAAGACGAGACGAGGCGGTGAGGAAACGCCTCCATATCACGATGTAGCAAGTATAGTCCATGCTCGTGTTGTCTACACTTCTTTGACCATCGCCTTTTCTTTTGATTATGTCTTTTCTCCGATAAAAACCAACTATCGCCAATGCATCCTCTTCGTCCGCCATGTGTACTGAATACTCGGGGGGGGGGGGGGGGGTTAGACCCGTGAGTTTTTATCTTCCTGTGTGGGGTCTCACACAGAGAAAAATCGGCCGACAATTTTAAAATCGTCTCGTGTGAACCAGGCTTAAGACTCTGGACCTACTGTATGTTAATGTGCGGGACGCATACGCCTCCTCCCCCCTCCCCCCTCTCGGACGCTCTGATCACAGCCTGGTCCGTCTGTCTCCGGAATACACACCAGTGGTGAGAAGAAATCCAGCGCAGAAGAGGATTGTAAAAGTGTGGAGCGATGATGTGGATGAGATGCTGAGAGATTGTTTTCAAAACACTGATTGGGAAATGATCTGCAGCTCTCATGGTGAGGACATCGAGAGCCTGACACACTGCATTACAGACTATATTCTCTTCTGTGTGGATAACACTGTACCAACTAAGAAGGTGCGGTGTTTTTCTAACAACCACCCATGGGTGACCCCTGAGCTTAAAGCCCTCCTGAACCTCAAGAAAAGGGCTTTCATCTCAGGGGACAGGGAGGAGCAGAAGAGGATCCAGCACGAGCTCCAGTGGAGGATCAGGAGGGCCAAGAAGGACTATGGGAAAAAGCTGGAGCAGAAGCTGGCCCAGGGAAACGCCCGCGACGTGTGGAGAGGCCTAAAGAACATCTCCGGCTTTGGACAGAGTGCCAGAGGAACAGCGGATGGAGACCAGCACCGAGCGGATGAATTTAACCAGTACTTCAACCGGTTTGATTCTCTCCCCTCTCCATCTGCCCCCCCTCCCGCCCCCACCTCTTCACACGTCCCCAGCCCAGTGGACACCGCCCAGTGGACACAGCCTCCGGCTGCCCCGGGCCCTCCTGCCCCCGCATCCCCAGCCCCCACCTCGGAAAGTACACCCCGGTCCCCCCCCCTCTCCATCACACCGGACCAGGTGAGGAGTCAGCTCCAGCGCCTGAAGCTGAGGAAATCCGCAGGACCGGACGGGTGTCAGACTGTACAATAAGCAGTGTTGTGCCAGTTCACAACTTTTCTGAACTAGTTCAAGTTCAGTTCATACATGCTCAAAGTGAACAGTTCACGTTCAAAGTTCACAATTTTAATTCTGAACTAGTTCAAAGTTCAGTTCATTTTCCTTTTTTTGTGAAATAGTCAAATAAATACTTTTTCACACGAGCTATAATTATATATGTATATCTCCTGTACACCTACAGGAGGAGAGTCTTTTGACTACAAAACAGACTAGATTTACATGGTTTTCAATGGGAGCAAAACTGAGTTGTCCCATCTCTGCTCATCTCGCGCTCAGTTAATAAGCCGTTCATCTTTCATTTTGAACCTCTGAGTCAAAGACGAGGAGTTTCTCATGAAGAATCTCATTATTAAGGCTGTTGGTGCAGTGGAGAGGTCGGTTCTTTCCTAAAAATTGTGAAAATCCTCCTGTGCAGCTTTAAGCCAGAAATATATTTGTGTGTCTGTGATAATGATTAATAATTAATTTAATAAAAATGTAAAGTACAACATTGAACTGTGGAGGAATGGATGAAAAGATGATGACTGTAAAACACGACTGAGGCAGACTCTACACATCTGCCAAACATGACACACAACAACACTACACACAGTTCATATACTCACTGTTCCTTCTGTATCGTCACATTCAGGGTCATGTTCCTCCACTGTCGCTGTAAAGACTTTGATCCAGGGACATGTTCCTTTTGCTGTTGGACATTTATAAATACATGTTTATTTAGTTGCAGAGAATATGAAGGAGTTTGCTCTTTTGGCCGCGTCAGTGTGGTCTTTCTCAGGGCCCACAGGGATTCCTGCGGCAGGAGCCTTCTGAGGTCTCTCCAACCGCTACAACAGCGCTGGCCTGGAGAAGGCCCTCTGTCAGTGGCTCCACAGGTGAGGCTCCTTCTGTTGGACACACTACATCACCATCTAAAGCACAGAACAGTTCACGTTCAAAGTTCACATTTTTAATTCTGAACTAGTTCAAAGTTCAGTTCATTTTGCTTTTTTCGTGAGATACTTAAATAAATATTTTTTTTACACTACGAGCTATATATATATATATATATGAGATATCAATCAATCAATCAAATTTTATTTATAAAGCGCTTTTCATACAAAAAGTGTAACACAAAGTGCTTTACAGTTTAGTTAAAAACAATCCAACATGGCCCAGCCCTAAACCCTCCTCCCCACAGACCCCCCCAAAACCACATTTATAATTATATATACAACCACATGCGTATACACAGCCAAGAGGAGATCAGGAGGAGCCAAGAGGAGACCAGGAGGAGACCAGGAGGAGCCAAGAGGAGACCAGGAGGAGCCAAGAGGATCCAGGAGGAGCCCAGAGGAGACCAGGAGGAGACCAGGAGGAGCCAAGAGGAGACCAGGAGGAGACCAGGAGGAGACCAGGAGGAGACCAGGAGGACACCAGGAGGAGCCAAGAGGAGACCAGGAGGAGACCAGGAGGAGACCAGGAGGAGCCAAGAGGATCCAGGAGGAGCCCAGAGGAGACCAGGAGGAGCCAAGAGGAGACCAGGAGGAGACCAGGAGGAGACCAGGAGGAGACCAGGAGGAGCCAAGAGGAGCAAAGAGGATCCAAGAGGATCCAGGAGGAGCCCAGAGGAGACCAGGAGGAGCCAAGAGGAGACCAGGAGAAGCCAAGAGGAGACCAGGAGGAGACCAGGAGGAGGACCAGGAGGAGACCAAGAGGATCCAGGAGGAGACCAGGAGGAGCCAAGAGGAGACCAGGAGGAGACCAGGAGGAGACCAGGAGGAGCCAAGAGGAGACCAGGAGGAGACCAGGAGGAGACCAGGAGGAGACCAGAAGGAGACCAGGAGGAGCAAAGAGGATCCAAGAGGATCCAGGAGGAGCCCAGAGGAGACCAGGAGGAGCCAAGAGGAGACCAGGAGGAGCCCAGAGGAGACCAGGGGGAGACCAGGAGGAGCCAAGAGGAGACCAGGAAGAGCCAAGAGGAGACCAGGAGGATACCAGCGGGGGCCAAGAGGAGACCAGGAGGAGCCCAGGAGGAGCCAAGAGGAGAGGAGACCAGGAGGAGACCAGGAGGAGCCAAGAGGAGACCAGAGGAGGAGAGCCAAGAGGAGACAAGAGGAGACCAGGAAGAAGCAAGAGGAAACCAGGAGGAGCCGAGAGGAGACAGGAGGAGCCAAGAGGAGACCAGGAGGAGCCAAGAGGAAACCAGGAGGAGACCAGGAGGAGACCAGAGAGGAGCCAAGAGGAGACCAGGAGGAGCCAAGAGGAGCCAAGAGGAGACCAGGAGGAGCCAAGAGGAGACCAGGAGGAGCCAAGAGGAGCCAAGAGGAGACCAGGAGGAGCCAGGAGGAGCCAAGAGGAGACCAGGAGGAGCCAAGAGGAGACCAGGAGGAGACCAGGAGGAGCCAAGAGGAGACCAGAGGAGCCAGGAGGAGACCAGGAGGGGCCAAGAGGAGACCAGGAGGAGCCATGAGGAGACCAGGAGGAGCCAAGAGGAGACCAGGAGAGCAAAGAGGAGACCAAGAGGAGACCAAGAGGACCAGGAAGAGCCAGGAGAGACCAAGAGGAGACCAAGAGGAGACCAGGAGGAGCCATGAGCAGACCAGAGGAGCCAAGAGGAGACAAGAGGAGACCAGGAGGAAGCAAGAGGAAACAGGAGGAGCCAAGAGGAAACCAGGAGGAGCCAAGAAGGAGCCAAGAGAAGACCAGGAGGAGCCGAGAGGAGCCAAGAGGAGATCAGGAGGAGACCAGGAGGAGCCAAGAGGAGACCAAGAGGAGACCAGAGGAGACCAGGAGGAGCCAAGAGGAGACCAGGAGGAGCTAAGAGGAGACCAGGAGGAGCCAAGAGGAGACCAGGAGGAGCCAAGAGGAGACCAGGAGGAGCCAAGAGGAGACCAGGAGGGGCCAAGAGGAGACCAGGAGGAGCCATGAGGGGACCAGGAGGAGCCAAGAGGAGACCAGGAAGAGCAAAGAGGAGACCAAGAGGAGACCAAGAGCAGACCAGGAAGAGCCAGGAAGAGCCAAGAGGACACCAAGAGGAGCTATGAGGAGACCAGGAGGAGCCATGAGGAGACCAGGAGGAGCCAAGAGGAGACCAGGAGGGGCCAAGAGGAGACCAGGAGGTGCCAAGAGGAGACCAGGAGCAGCCGAGAGGAGCCAAGAGGACACCAGGAGGAGACCAGGAGGAGACCAAGAGGAGAACAGGAGGAGCCATGAGGACACCAGGAGGAGCCAAGAGGAGACCAAGAGGAGACCAGGAGGAGCCAAGAGCAGACCAGGAGGAGCCAAGAGGAGACAAGAGGAGACCAGGAGGAAGCAAGAGGAAACCAGGAGGAGCCGAGAGGAGACAGGAGGAGACCAGGAGGAAGCAAGAGGAAACCAGGAGGAGCCGAGAGGAGACAGGAGGAGCCAAGAGGAGACCAGGAGGAGCCAAGAGGATCCAAGAGGAGACCAGGAGGAGACCAGGAGGAGCCAAGAGGAGACCAGGAGGGGCCAAGAGGAGACCAGGAGGTGCCAAGAGGAGACCAGGAGGTGCCAAGAGGAGACCAGGAGGTGCCAAGAGGAGACCAGGAGCAGCCGAGAGGAGCCAAGAGGACACCAGGAGGAGACCAGGAGGAGACCAGGAGGAGACCAAGAGGAGAACAGGAGGAGCCATGAGGAGACCAGGAGGAGCCAAGAGGAGACCAAGAGGAGACCAGGAGGAGCCAAGAGCAGACCAGGAGGAGCCAAGAGGAGACAAGAGGAGACCAGGAGGAAGCAAGAGGAAACCAGGAGGAGCCAAGAGGAAACCAGGAGGTGCCAAGAGGAGGAGCAAGAGAGACCAGGAGGAGCCGAGAGGAGCCAGAGGAGCCAAGAGGAGACCAGGAGGAGCCAAGAGGAGCCAAGAGGAGCCAAGAGGAGAGCCAGGAGGAGACCAGGAGGAGACCAGGAGGAGACCAGGAGGAGCCAAGAGGAGACCAGGAGGAGCCAAGAGGAGACCAGGAGGAGCCAGAGGAGACCAGGAGGAGCCGAGAGGGCCAAGAGGACACCAGGAGGACCAGGAGGAGACCAGGAGGAGACCAAGAGGAGACCAGGAGAGCCAGAGGAGACCAGAGGAGCCAAGAGGAGACCAAGAGGAGACCAGGAGGAGCCATGAGAGACCAGGAGGAGCCAAGAGGAGACCAGGAGGGACCAAGAGGAGACCAGGAGGTGCCAAGAGGAGACCAGGAGGAGCCAAGAGGAGCCAAGAGGACACCAGGAGGAGACCAGGAGGAGACCAAGAGGAGACCAAGAGGAGACCAGGAGGAGCCAAGAGCAGACCAGGAGGAGCCAAGAGGAGACAAGAGGAGACCAGGAGGAGCAAGAGGAGACCAGGAGGAGCCAAGAGGAGACCAGGAGGAGCCAAGAGGAGACCAGGAGGAGCCAAGAGGAGACCAGGAGGAGCCAAGAGGAGACCAGGAGGAGCCAAGAGGAGACCAGGAGGAGCCAAGAGGACCAAGAGGAGACCAAGAGGAGACCAGAGGAGACCAGGAGGAGACCAGGAGGAGACCAGGAGAGACCAGGAGGAGCCAAGAGGAGACCAGGAGGAGCCATGAGGAGACCAGGAGGAGCCATGAGGAGACCAGGGGGAGCCAAGAGGAGACCAGGAGGAGCCAAGAGGAGACCAGGAGGAGCCAAGAGGAGACCAGGAGGAGCCAAGAGGAGCCAGAGGAGACCAGGAGGAGACCAGGAGGAGACCAAGAGGAGAACAGGAGGAGCCATGAGGACACCAGGAGGAGCCAAGAGGAGACCAAGAGGAGACCAGGAGGAGCCAAGAGGAGACCAGGAGGAGCCAAGAGGAGACAAGAGGAGACCAGGAGGAGCAAGAGGAAACCAGGAGGAGCCGAGAGGAGACAGGAGAGAGAGACCAGGAGGAGCCAAGAGGAGACCAGGAGGAGCCGAGAGAGAGACCAGGAGGAGCCAAGAGGAGACCAGGAGGAGCCAGAGGAGCCAGAGGAGCCAAGAGGAGACCAGGAGGAGACCAGGAGGAGCCAAGAGGACCAAGAGAGACCAGGAGGAGCCAAGAGGAGACCAGGAGGAGCCAAGAGGAGACCAGGAGGAGCCAAGAGGAGACCAGGAGGAGCCAAGAGGAGACCAGGAGGAGCCAAGAGGAGACCAGGAGGAGCCAAGAGGAGACCAGGAGGAGAAGAGGAGCCAGAGGACACCAGAGGAGACCAAGAGGAGACCAAGAGGAGACCAGGAGGAGCCAAGAGGAACCAGGAGGAGCCAGAGGAGACAAGAGGAGACCAGGAGGAGCCAAGAGAGACCAGGAGGAGCCAAGAGGAGACAAGAGGAGACCAGGAGGAGCCAAGAGGAGGAGCCAGAGGAGAGCCAAGAGGAGCCAAGAGGAGACCAGGAGGAGCCAAGAGGAGACCAGAGGAGCCAAGAGGAGACCAGGAGGAGCCAAGAGGAGACCAGGAGGAGCCAAGAGGAGACCAAGAGGAGCCAAGAGGAGCCAAGAGGAGACCAGGAGGAGACCAGGAGGAGACCAGGAGGAGACCAGGAGGAGCCAAGAGGAGACCAGGAGGAGCTAAGAGGAGACCAAGAGGAGACCAAGAGGAGACCAAGAGGAGACCAAGAGGAGACCAAGAGGAGACCAAGAGGAGACCAAGAGGAGACCAAGAGCAGACCAAGAGCAGACCAGGAAGAGCCAAGAGGACACCAAGAGGAGACCAGGAGGGGCCAAGAGGAGACCAGGAGGAGCCATGAGGAGACCAAGAGGAGACCAAGAGCAGACCAGGAAGAGCCAGGAAGAGCCAAGAGGACACCAAGAGGAGCTATGAGGAGACCAGGAGGAGCCATGAGGAGACCAGGAGGGGCCAAGAGGAGACCAGGAGGAGCCAAGAGGAGACCAGGAGGAGCCGAGAGGAGCCAAGAGGAGATCCAAGAGGAGACCAGGAGGAGCCCAGAGGAGACCAAGAGGAGACCAAGAGGAGACCAGGAGGAGCCAAGAGGAGACCAGGAGGAGACCAAGAGGAGACCAGGAGGAGCCAAGAGGAGACCAGGAGGAGCCAAGAGGAAGCAAGAGGAAACCAGGAGGAGCCAAGAGGAGACCAGGAGGAGCCAAGAGGAGACCAGGAGGAGCCAAGAGGAAACCAGGAGGAGCCAAGAGGAGCCAAGAGGAGACCAGGAGGAGACCAGGAGGAGACCAGGAGGGAGGAGCCAAGAGGAGACCAAGAGGAGACCAGGAGGAGCCAAGAGCAGACCAGGAGGAGCCAAGAGGAGACAAGAGGAGACCAGGAGGAAGCAAGAGGAAACCAGGAGGAGCCGAGAGGAGACAGGAGGAGCCAAGAGGAGACCAGGAGGAGCCAAGAGGAAACCAGGAGGAGCCAAGAGGAGACCAGGAGGAGACCAGGAGGAGCCAAGAGGAGACCAGGAGGAGCCATGAGGAGACCAAGAGGAGACCAAGAGCAGACCAGGAAGAGCCAGGAAGAGCCAAGAGGACACCAAGAGGAGCTATGAGGAGACCAGGAGGAGCCATGAGGAGACCAGGAGGAGCCAAGAGGAGACCAGGAGGGGCCAAGAGGAGACCAGGAGGTGCCAAGAGGAGACCAGGAGGAGCCGAGAGGAGCCAAGAGGACACCAGGAGGAGACCAGGAGGAGACCAAGAGGAGAACAGGAGGAGCCATGAGGACACCAGGAGGAGCCAAGAGGAGACCAGGAGGAGCCATGAGGAGACCAAGAGGAGACCAGGAGGAGCCAAGAGCAGACCAGGAGGAGACAAGAGGAGACAAGAGGAGACCAGGAGGAAGCAAGATGAAACCAGGAGGAGCCGAGAGGAGACAGGAGGAGCCAAGAGGAGACCAGGAGGAGCCAAGAGGAAACCAGGAGGAGCCAAGAGGAGACCAGAAGGAGCCAAGAGAAGACCAGGAGGAGCCAAGAGGAGACCAGGAGGAGCCATGAGGAGACCAGGAGGAGCCAAGAGGAGACCAGGAGGAGACCAGGAGGAGCCAAGAGGATCCAAGAGGAGACCAGGAGGAGACCAGGAGGAGCCAAGAGGAGACCAGGAGGAGCCAAGAGGAGCCAAGAGGAGACCAGGAGGAGACCAGGAGGAGACCAGGAGGAGCCAAGAGGAGACCAGGAGGAGACCAGGAGGAGACCAGGAGGAGCCAAGAGGATCCAAGAAGAGACCAGGAGGAGACCAGGAGGAGCCAAGAGGAGCCAAGAGGAGACCAGGAGGAGCCAAGAGGAGCCAAGAGGAGACCAGGAGGAGACCAGGAGGAGACCAAGGAGCCAAGAGGATCCAAGAGGAGACCAGGAGGAGCCAAGAGGAGACCAGGATGAGACCAGGAGGAGCCAAGAGGAGCCAAGAGGAGACCAGGAGGAGCCAAGAGGAGACCAGGAGGAGCCCTGAGACAGACAGCCTTCAGACTCACATCATCAACATTTAAACACAAGAACAATGGGAGGAAGAACATGGCTATGCCAGTACAGATGTAGCCACACAACAAAAACGTGGTCACAGAGTAGACTCTGCTCCATCAACTCCAACTCGGTGACCTACGGCTGACTGTAATGAGGTTCAAGTACCGAATAATGACATTTTGGATTCAATACTGAGTTTGAAGTCAACAGTAGCGGGAGTGGAAATGCGGGTTGTTTGCGTGGAGTCGCAGTTTGACAATATACTAGGGCTGTCAAACGATTAAATTTTTTTAGTTGATTAATCGCATAGTAATGGTGAGTTAACTCACGATTAATCGCATGTTTAACATTCTATTTCAAATCCACTCCAATTGAAGTTAAATGAGATTATCAAATATAATTACCAGTATTGGGTAAATTACTTTGAAAAAGTAATTAGTTATAGTTACTTGGTACTTCTTCCAAAAAGTAATTGACTTACTGACTGAGTTACTCCACTATAAAAGTAACTAGTTACCAGTAAAAGTAACTATTGCGTGGTACCGAGCTTCAGCTGGCTGTAATTTAGGATAACTTCTAAGTAGATTAATTGTTGCAACAACCCACCCTATTTTAGTATGATATGTTAGTTTAGGGAACTGTCCTGCAGGCAAACAGGTATAAGACAGGCCAAGGTGCCATTTAATTAAATTGCATTTATTTTTATCCATTGATCAAACAAACAGATTACAAAACTTGCAATTGAAAGAGACTATTTTAAAATAATTAGTTCCCAAAAACACACACGAGCAACACTGGCGCCTGACAGTCAAGAACCAGGGAGAATACAGTGCGCAGAGCGCGCCTGACAGACAAGAACCAGGGAAAATACAGTGCGCAGAGCGCGCCTGACAGACAAGAACCAGGGAAAATACAGTGCGCAGAGCGCGCCTGACAGACAAGTACCAGGGAAAATACAGTGCGCAGAGCGCTCCTGACAGACAAGAACTAGGGAAAATACAGTGCGCAGAGCGCTGAGTATGTGAACGGAGCAATCGCTTGCTGCTGTTATTATAATAGCTAGATCCATGCTTGCAGCCCGTGCAAAGCTTGCACTCACTCACAGCCGCTAACAACAACCAGAGCGGCCACGGAGGAGGCCATCTCACACGCAGCATTCTGAGTGATATTCTTATGGATAAATGGGCGGGTCATTCGGACATGCGTTAATGCGTTTAAAAAAAAATAACGCGTTAATAAAAACTGTAATTAACGTGAGTTAACGCGATAATTTTGACAGCCCTACAATATACACAACCAAAATCAGCAGACGGGTGCTATGCTAGCTAGCTTGGCCTAATCTGTTCAATTTAATGCTAAAGAATTGTCTGATTATTTTACAAAAGTTGATAAACCTGAAAAAGCAAACGGACAACAATCGAAGGAAAACGTCACCTTAAAGGAAAAAGTAAGGGAACAAGAACGGTATGTGATGCGATGGAAAAGAAAGGAGAAGGAGAAGAAACATTCTTTAAATGTTAGGGGCTTAAAAGAACTCATTAAATGAAAGCTTTGTTTTTACTTTGTAAAGGGTAAAAATGTCACCGCTTATTCTTTCTAGAAACTCCTTCTTCAGATGTGGACTCATCATTCTGGAAAAACCACTGGAATGGCCTGTGGAAAAAGAGCCACCGTCATAGTCCACTCATACAAATGCTACAAAGAAATATCTGCTTCACCAAAGTTTGTTGTAGAGTTAGTTGTTTTTGTGCTCTGGTGCTGTGTGTGTGTGTGTGTGTGTGTGTGTCTTTCACTGTTGGATATTGTCACATTAATATAATCACATTAATTTGCAACAGTGTGAGGTTTTATTTGTTTTAGTGTGTGTGTGTCATGGTGTGGTTGTGATGCAGTACAACACTGCGTTGTGTAATGGGGCGTTCAAAGGGAGGTTGACGTCCTTTGACTGAGCCCAGTGTGTGTGTGTTTAGTCTAGGTCTCCTGTTGTTGTGGTGCATTAAATAGACTAAAGAGCGTGACCTTCTGCCTGGAGGTGGTTGGTTCCGGGCCGAGCCACATTCTGTCTGCCTTTTCTCTGTGCTTCATCATCAGTGGATCTTCATCATCCTCACCCTGTTACCAAGTGTACAGCTACATTTTCATCTGATTTAACAGGAAGCACAGTAGAAACAGTTTAAGTGTTAGTGTGAGTATAAGTGTGTATGTTTGAGAGGGTATGAGTTTGAATGTGTGTGTGTGTTTGTAAGAGTGTGAGTGTGTATGTGTCACCTACAGTCTCTCTCCCTAAAACCTTCAAACAAGGTCAGAAATCTAGGGGTAATACTGGACTCAGACTTACATTTTAATAGCCACATCAAATCAGTAACATCAGCAGCTTTTTACCATCTAAAAAACATTGCCAGGATCAAAAACATAGTGTCTAAAGCAGACCTGGAGATTCTTATCCATGCATTTGTCTCCAGTAGGTTAGACTACTGCAATGGCCTGCTCACAGGTCTGTCCAAACAGGCTGTAAAACAGCTGCAGTACATTCAAAATGCAGCAGCTCGAGTCCTGACTAGAACCAGGAAGTACGACCACATTAGTCCTGACTAGAACCAGGAAGTACGACCACATTAGTCCAGTTCTCAGGTCTCTGCACTGGCTTCCTGTAGCTCAGAGAATAGACTTTAAAACAGCTCTGCTTGTGTACAAGTCTCTCCATGGCCTCGCACCAAAATATATTAGTGACATGTTAGTCCCATATGAACCAGCCCGGACTCTGAGGAGCACAGGGACTGGACTCCTGCTGGGACTCTGAGGAGCACAGGGACTGGACTCCTGCTGGGACTCTGAGGAGCACAGGGACTGGACTCCTGCTGGGACTCTGAGGAGCACAGGGACTGGACTCCTGTTAGTGCCCAGAGTCAGAACTAAACATGGGGAGGCTGCTTTTCAGATTCATGCTGCTAAAATCTGGAACAATCTTCCTGAAGATGTGAGACAGGCCTCCTCTCTGACAATGTTTAAAACCAGGTTAAAAACGGTGCTGTTTAGCTGTGCATACAACTGAGGGATTTTATATTTTTATCTTTCTTTTTAATGTTCTGTGATTATTTATGATTTTAATGCTTTCTTGTTCAGCACTTTGAGTTGCCTTGTGTATGTTATTGTGCTATACAAATAAACTTGCCTTGCCTTCCTCTACTCCCTCGAGGACATGGTTCAATATTTAATTTTTTTGAACAAACACCTCAACGTATCGATCTATCTTTAAACTGGACTCCACAAGAAAGGCTTTTTTCTGTAAAAAATATTGTATCTAATAATATTGTAATATTTCTTTCTGTGTGTGTGATCAAATGTTCAATATATGTTTTCTAATAAATCACCAACAATATAACATTGTTTTCCTCCTTTTTAGAAATAAACAGACAAATGTGTTATTATTCACTTTATTTGAATTAGGGCAGTACATAAAACCAGTCAGCAAACAGCTCCAACATAAATTATGCTGGAATTAGCACAAAAAGAAACATATTTTATGTTTGCTGTTTTAAAACAAATAACATGTGAACATGAGTTTTGTGGAACATAGACTCAAAATACAATGTTATTACGTACTGTGCCATTTTTACTGTTTGGTTAGAATAATGCAACAGGCAAACTTTGAACAACACTCAACATGAAACTATCAGTACTCGAACCCGGATTCTCTCCCCCTCCCCTCTTCCCCGTCTCTGGTGGACCATGTGGTCTCTGGAGCGGGTGTGAGTGAGCAGGTGGGCAGCAGAGGTCTGGATGTAGAGAATGGGAAAGATGCAGATGATGAAGAGGTTGAAATGTATCTGGGAGAGGGGGGGGTTCAGAGAAGGAGGATGAGAATGAGGAAGGGTTGAAAGGTCGGTTATTGAGCCAGTTTGTTTGGGTGTTGCAGGGAGTGATGTCCATGAAAGCGGCTTCTGCAGTGGAGACATGCACCGACGGGGCTGGCTCTAGAAAATTACCCCGAACCTACGCCACTGGTTTATCTCATCAGAAGTGGCTGTCAAATGATGTAATTTAATTTTAATCCACTAGATGTCGCCAGAAAACTCCAACCTGCTGCTGGGGCGTGTGTGAGAGTTGGATGGGTTTATATCACTGCCGCAGAGAGACGCACGTCACACACACACACACACACACACACACAACTGACGTCACGCAGTACTCCAGAGCCAATGAGAGGCCAGGACCAAATTCAAATGTAGTACCACCAAAAAGGTAGAGAGGGCGCCACACAGACCGTTTTAGGTTCAAAAGTTAGATTATATCTAATTTGCACTAAAATGTAAAAAAAAAATGACAAGGACATATAGAGAGCACTATAACACATATTTATGAGTTTAAAAAGTTGATTTGGTGTTTAGTTGTCCTTTAATACTGAAGTGTGATCCTGTAGAGTCTGACTCTGGGTTCACATGATGCAGCCTCAGCTCTGTCTCCTTCACTTTGTTCCAGATGCTGCGTCTTCACACCTGCTTCTCACACGTTTTAATGTGTCCACAAAGATGTTGGCTTTGTGTGAAATACTTTCCACACTTTTCACAGACAAATGGTTTCTCTCCAGTGTGGATCCTCTGATGACGATTGAGATGACCACTGTGAGTAAAACTCTGATCACAAACGTCACAGCTGAAGGGTTTTTCTTCAGTGTGGATTCTGCTGTGGAGTTTAAGATTTCCTTTTTGGGAAAAACATGTTCCACACTGATCACACTCGTACGGCTTCTCTCCAGTGTGGCTCCTATGGTGAACTGTGCGCTTTTCTGCAGTTCTAAAAGTTTTACTGCAGAGGTCACATGCAAATGGTTTTTCTCCAGTGTGAATTCTCTCATGACGTTTGTAGTCTGAAAACTGAGTAAACTCCTTCCCACAGTCTCCACAGACGAATGGTTTTTCTCCAGTGTGGATTCTGTAGTGACGAGTGAGGTTAGATAATTGTGTAAAAGTCTTTTCACACTGGTCACATTGGTGAGGTCTCTCTCCTGTGTGGACACGCTGATGTT